ACAAGCCATTCGCATGAGTCACACGTCTGAGATGTGAGGACGTGTGGGTGTGCGGGGTAGAGGCCGAACGCCACAGCTGGATTGGACACCACGAGCAGAGGGGACGGAAGGCGTAAGCCCGGGGGGCCTAGTGACCTTGTCAAATGAAGGGGCAGTGAGACTTCGCAGGCACGAAGCGCTGGTGCGTCAGGGTAGGCCTGAAGTTAGTGGCATGCGGGGCTGCCATTGTGACCAGAACACGCTCTTCCCGACAAACACGGGTGGAGAGCCATTAAAACGAAAGGGCACGTGGACCTGGCCAAAGCAAACAGCCTTAGTCAAATTACTATGGCTCAGTAGCCTCTCCAAATAACCATCACCACGCTGCTGTCTAGCTCCCCTAGCGACTGGAGTCTGTTTGAAGCATATGTGATCAGATGGGAAATTCGTCCCCTCGAAACACTAGCTTGAGTCCAAGTCCGCCCCTCGCCAAAACCTCAGGGCAAATCTAATAACTCTGAAAGCCTGGCGTGGCCTGATGAGAGCAAGGATGGAAATGCCTATTAGGGGCAGGATGCACATGGCCTGCTGTAAGCGCAAGCAAGACGAAAAAATGGATTGTAGATTCGTGCTTACCATTCCCACAGTGGACAGTTATAAATTAATTAGCGTCACGAGCTATCTAAATATTGCCCCAGTCGTTGGAGAGAAACGAGTAACAAAAAAGACTGGCAGCAACTTCAATGACGGTAAATGAGGAGTCCGAAAACGAATCAAAAATACTTCAGCACGTAAGAACAGAGGTGGACTTTGAAAAAACCTATGGCCTACCGCCCTCTTTGCTCCTAGAGTCTGTATAAAATTGAGAAACAGTAAAACGTAAAAGGACCGAGCATAGCCACACACCGGGACTGAGGTGGTGAAAGAGCCCTATCACATAGCAAGATAAACTTTAGGTAGATTAGAATACGAACCGACAGGGGCAACACAGCAAGTAAGGCAAGTTGTGAATCCGTGACAAGCCAGAGAGCACATACGGTGTGGACACGGAGACCCGCACACGATAAGACTAAGTAATTCGAGGACGAAAATTAAAATCCCTAACACGAAGAAAACAGGAACAACTGCATCTTTTGCTAACGGCCATCACGAGGAACGATAAAAAGAGAGATCAACTAGGCGACAGATCATCTCATATTCATTTGAAGACAAAAAAGGTAAAAAAAACTACCATGATACATGAAAAGCCAGAAGTGCGGGTGAGGTACACTGAGATGAATCCGTGGAAGACGGACCATCTCATGATTACATGGGTGAAACAGCCCAGGAGTCGATGAAAACAGGACCGCGGGGTGGGCAAAGTAAAGATTACCTTATGTACAGGGAAAGGGTGCTGGACTCAAAACAGAACCCAGAAAAAAAAAGACAGAATTTTCGTTTAGGGAAAGGATAAAAAATATAACTGCTGGGGACCGACAGTTCGTGCCTCCCTTTTCGTATTCTTTCTATGAGATAGGATTCCGTTAGCATAGGCAGCGGAGTGAAATGCACGAACGCACACGAATGTAGGCGCAAAGAACCTTCATTTGTTGTAACAGACCAGGCAATGAGAAAAGCGAATTCCTCCTGTTAGAGAGGAGAGCAGTGATAAGTTAGGCCACTTGTTCGGTAATACGCTGGTCCGGTACAGCAACGGGCATACAGTCCAGACTCTTCGGGGACGGGGTGTCGGGGTCGCCGGGGGAGACTCCAGAGGAATCATCGTTTTCGTCTGGACTAGTCATGCCTTCTGTTCCTTTGGAATTGGCCTGAAGTGTCTGATCATGGGCATTTGCCCCAGAGAAGGCCTCCGATTGGTCTGCGTTGCCTGAGTGGACGGATCCACCGAAGGAAGAAAAGGAAGTCGACTTGTAGGATAAAGTCGAAGCCTGTGCTGCGATAGTGGACGCAGGAAGAGCAGTAGCAGCAGCGGCAGCCGCGGGCGCACGACGTCCGCTCTGCTGCCCCTGGCGACGGCGACGACTTCTTCCCTCAGTGCTATCAACAGGCAAGTCAGAAGGCTGAAGTGAGTAACGGCTGTTGAGGAGGTTGGCTGGCCTTACCAGTTGAGTACTTGCAGCGACCGCCGGCCCCCCTATGGGGTACATCTGCCCT